CTCCTCGTGGCGGTGGGTGCCGAGGTCCTCTTGGTCCTATGAATAATGTGATTTTGTTCAATTTTAAAGTATAAATTTCGAATTTGATTTTGTTAGTGTTAAAATAGAAATATTGTTCAACTAAATTACTTACCTTTATTATCGTCTAGCCCATATAGCCAAAAGTCTGGGACACAGCCACGAGGGCAGTTATCTATGAATAATGTTCAGTTTCAAAATATTTTACAGAATATATACTGCTTAAGTAATCAATCAAACAAATTAAATTACTTGTCCATGGGCCTTTGTCTCCGCCTTTGTTTCCGCCTTTGTTTCCGCCAGAACCTTTTTCACCTGTATTTCCATTAGAAAAGCATTGAGAAGAGTATGAAGAAAAAAAATTAAAACAAGTCTGGAATGCGCTGTGTATTGGTGTATTGGTTTGGATCCAAATTGTTGAGAGCGTCTTCTGGATAATATAATGAGAGTTTGCAAGGTCGGTATCAACACACAATGCATTTTATCGCTGTAACACCAGCGCAAAAAATCATATGCTAACTCCAAAACAAGTGAAAGATGGGCTACACACACACACACACACACACACACAAAAACACTCTCTTTCACTTTGTAAAAATGAAAAACTTACATTCACATCTGTTAAGTCTGATATTTATATTCTGAAGTTTTGGAGGGACATTAACTTCGGTATATGGTTCTTGCGAGAATCTTCGTTGTTGTTGTGCGGGCAAATCATAAAACCAATCGCATATGTCACCAAATAGGGGTCCCGCAATAAGACCCGCTTCAGTTAATAAACGGAGGTCTGTTACCCCAAGTAGACACAACACCTCGTTGACAGGACCTATGTCTGCGCCTAGATTTATGCCTCCTGGCTCAAGGATATCACCAAGATTTATTGCTTTAGTCAAGCTACCAAGTCCACCACTTGTGATACTACCAAGTCCGCCACTTGTGATACTACCAAGTCCACCTTTATTACCTAAGATGCCTTTTAAGATGTCCAATTGACCGTTCGTCATTTGCTGTGAAATATAAAAATAAAAATTGTTCCAATTAGTTGCAATTGTTTTTTTGTTTTCTTGCGAAAAAGAATTAACTTACAAGAATGACGGCTTCCACGAGTAAGCCAAATACGATTGCAAAAAAGTTTGCCATTTTCTTCAAGAGTCTTTTTCACAACTTCGGGGAATGCTTGCTATCTTGAGATTGCAACACCACAAATTGTTCTGCTTTCCATTCATCCAACCACCTCAATATATACTCACTAAAAGTCGCCATTTTTATTTTTTTGTGTCATAAAATGTATCCAAAAAAAAATAGGATTTTTCTATATTTAAACTTGTATTTGATGAACACGCAATAAATGGTCTGGTTTGGATGGCACGTGTAACATGTATACATACATTGGCGAAATGCATGGCTTATGTTATAAAACTAATTTCCAATATTTGAGTTTCCAGTGCATATCATGGAGCCTTAATTTTTTACATGCATTTTTAATAAACAACGCTAAAGCAAATATCTTAAAATATTCGATTCTTGTCTCGAGTCAGATAATAAAAAGCAAACAAAGGTGAACGTTCTGTGTACGCTATGCATTCGCGTGCCGATGAAACAATGTTTGCTGCACTGAACGAAAATACTTTTCACTCGAAAAGAATTTTTTTTTCCTTGGTGTTTATGCCGAGTGTTAAATATTTTTTCCATTCGAAAAAATAAACGCATCATGACTTTTAAATTATATTTATCACTATAATAAGAATATGAAATGCACAAGTGAAATGAAAATATTGAAGTTAATATTTACTTTGAAAAAATTGAAAGTGTTATTCTTATACTGAAAATAAATTGTTGTTCTTTCCAAGTATCGTTCGCAATATTCAATGCAAATGTTTAGGCACGTGGAAAAGAATATTATCAAAAAATAATTTCTACATTTTAGCTGCAACTCAAATATCGTTTGGTTTTAATTGCAAAAATGTGGCTTCTGGTAAAAGAATTTTCTTTTATTTTTGAGTTGTTGATTCAGTTATTATTATGACTGAATTCATACTGAATAATAATTGCAATGCATTTTTAAGCTATTACTTCAAATGCCGTGAGATAAAAGTTCCGTTGGAAGATCAAAATTAAGACCTGAGACAAATGAGACATAACCAAATTGTCCCACATTGTACATCAGCATGTGAATAATAGGCTACACATAAGATGATGAACATTTCTTGCGAAATTATCACAAAACGGAGAAATCCAACGGTTCAACTACACTTCAATCGATTGGCCATGTAATAATGAGATGCTTGTACCGATTTGTTACAGTAATTTAGTCATGGATGCACACTGAACACATAGAATTGTTTACATATTTTGATACGCAAGCATGTACTCAAATATCCTTACTAAACGATAGGCTATCGTCGACAGCCAAAAAAGAACCATGAATCAAAAGTGAATTTTCAATCGAATACGTTATGAAATTAACACAAATTGATTGCGCAATTTTTTTTACAATAAACCTCTAAAAATATCTTGCAAAATAAATAAGCCATGACGGCCGAAAAATTATTTCTGTACTCATTCACATTTCTGAAAAAAAGAAGAAGATCATTTTCTATCAGTTCGCGTGCAATAAATGATTTTCAAATATTTAGTTGCTATGCCACATTCAAAAGATGTTAGCGGTATACTCTGATAAGAGATTTAAAATATTAACAAACTCCTTGGGCTATTTTGTTTGATTCATTGAAAACTTTCCATTCAAAATTTGAGCTTGATTAAGACAGTGTATTGTGGGCGCATAGATTGTTTTTCATGTGACAATTACAAGTTGGAAATATGTTTGTGTTAAATTAAATGCTTAGGAACAAAGAGAAATCTATGCGATTTTGAACGAGGTACAGCGCAAAGTGTAAATGAAAAATCCAAATGAATATGTGATATATTTGATGGGACAGGATGTGGTGGGTGGTAATGTGTCATTTCCTATTCAAATTTTGTAAGTGTCTGTCATTTTAATCGAATAGTTCCGGTTGATGAAACGAGCGCTCTGTGAAAAATGGATGAAAGTGAGACTGTACGTCAGAAGAAAAAAACAACAACAACAGCAGCACATATAATTATTGCGATAAGTTTTTTTTCCAGCCTCGAAAAACAGCGCTGATAACGTTATTTAGACGTGAACAGAGAAAAAAAAGCACTCAAATTATATGTTGTCACATTTATGTTTCACTCCATCGAAATAGTACCTACTTTTGATTTCGTCTATTTCCGTTTGGTAGTCTATTTAAGGATAAAAATCCATTCTCATTTACGGCTTATTGTACACACATTGTTTGCGTGTGATTTTGTGTTTTCATTTAAAACCACATTTGCAGATACAAATCAAATACACCGTGAAAACATTGCATGCAATTTAAAAGCAATTGCATGGCATGCATGGCAAGGAAAATAGGTTAGGCACATGTGTTATCTATCATTGAATTTAAAGAGCCGTGTTCAAACGCCATAATCAAATAGAAAAAGGGTCGAACATTTGATTTCTCATTATTTTTTTCTTTGCTTCGTCTTTTTTTTTGATCTGTTGTTGAAACTTCAATTAAAAACCGATTACTAGTTTCAAAGCCGTTCAATTAAAAACCCATTAAAAATGTCTTTGATATCGTCGTATCACAATCGAAATATCTTATCAATGTTTTTTTCTCTTCCCTTTTTGCTGTCATCCTTTTCGTTGATGTTTCTAGAGCGATAGTGACAAATCGAGCACAAACGATGAAACCAGATACAAAAAATGTGTTTTTTGTAGCCAAATCTTGGGTACGAAAGATAATCCAAAGCTATTGGAGTGTTTACATGTGACTTGTAATGCTTGTATCACCGCTAAATTCAGTGAAATTAATAGCGGCCAACCGGCCATCGTTGTTTGCCCGGTAAGTAGACTCGCGCGAAATTTTCAAATCTTTTGTTACCAATCGATTTTGAATTTTCCATTGAAGTCGCAATAATATTTCTATTTTCATCGATAAATGACAGATATGTAAAACAACCAGCACATATGACGGCATCATACCTGATCAATTTCTGATGGAATTGTCCGAAGCAAATTCTGACGAAGCACAAGCGTCATCTGAACTTGATGCAAAGGTATGCTTTTTTATACACCAATATCGTATTTGAAAATTTGCTTTTTTCATTGCGAATACAGTACATGAGAGTTTAAATTTCTGGATTTTAGACCATCAAATGCAGTAGTTGCACCGATGATGCATCAGCTACATCGTGGTGCGTTGAATGCGCGGAGTACATCTGTGACAGTTGTGTGCAAGCACATCAACGTTTAAAAATTACAAAAGACCACACCATCAAATCGAAAGAAGAAGCATTAGCCGATAATCAATCGGCTGTAAATGATGAGAAAATGCTCATGTGTCACATTCATCCACAGGTAAATGCAGTGAAACTCGTTTCTTTTCTTGTTTTCCAATCAAATTGACCTTCAACAAATTCATTCAAAATGAAATGTGTCTGTGCTCCTAGGAAAAACTATCGCTGTTCTGTGAAACGTGCGATAAATTAACATGTCGAGATTGTCAATTGGTCGATCATCGTGATCACAAATACAAATTTGCCAACGAAATTGCAACGGAAACAAGAACCGCTTTGGATTTGTTATTGAATGAAATCACATACAAACGTGTGCTGCTAAATAGTGCAATGACTGTGAGTAAATATTTTTTTTAACGACAAAAAACAAACAAACATTCGATTGGATTTTCCATAATTTAATCATTTGTTTTCTTTCGTTAGGTCATTGATGATCGTCAGAAGTTGATTGCCGATAAGAAAAAGGAATTGGTCACCGAAATTACAAATATGGTCGTTCGAATCACGAATACAGTGAATATGAGGGGAAAGCAGCTAGTGACACGACTGAGTGAAGTGTGCGATGGCAAGCTTAAAGTGTTGAATGAAAAGAAAGAAGCTCTGCAAACGTTATCCAACCATACTGATCACTGTATTGGTTTCGTTAAGCTGGCACTGGAGAAGGGTAGCGATAGTGCAGTTCTGTTTAGCAAAAAGACACTCACATCACATTTGCAAAAGGTGAAAGGTCAACGTGCCGACATTCCAAATCCAGAGATCCCTGTTCGCATTCAAGTTCAAATGAATCAAGTGCAAGAATTGCAAAAAGTTATCTCACAACTCGGCACAATTATCGTTGATGGCAAACAGTATCCACCGGTGGTGTCACCCGTTCCGAATGCTGTACGTCAGCAACCATCACCATCGAATGTCAATCCAATTCAACCGCCGATCAATTCGCCGAATTTAATTTTATCGCAGCCACAACCACAACCGCAATTGCCACAACCAATTCCTGCACATCGATCAAATATGCCGCCACCTTCTCGTTCACCGCAAATTCCTGGCTCAATAAATATGCGCAATAGTTTGTTTGGTAGTGGTAATGCACAAGCGCCTGTACAACAGCAGCCAAATTTCCAGCAACAGCAACAGCAACAACAGCAGCAGCAGCAGCAACAGCAATCAACACAGCAACAAGCTTGCAACATGTCTCGTCCATTCCAGCAAGATAATTCAATGGGAAATGTGGCTGGTTTTGGTAAGCAATGATGATAAATAAATAGAATTTGAACATTTTCATTATACGATCGTGTTATTCAAATTAGGTCGCTTCCCGAATTTGGCACCGAGACCGGCGCAATTCCGTCAGATGACACCTCACGTTAGCTCATCGACACATCCACAAAATATGGGTAAGACAAAAAATCAATGAATTCTTTTCTTTTTTTTGTGTATCTTTGAGATCTTGTAGTACGCTTTTAGATTAATACACGGTGAATGGTGTTTTCTGCATACTAATACAATTCTTGACTCAATTACCATTTCCCAATAAACACTAAAACAACACTTTGACCAAAATCCAAAACAAAACAAATGTAAATTGATTGAAAATGAAAAACAAAAATCAGAAATAAGCTTACGCGGTCTCTTAACCCAAGGAGGAGCAAATCAAGCGATCGGACCAATACAATGCGGCACCGGAAATGAATTTGGTCCATTGTTTAATCAACAAATGACACAGCAACAAGGTTTACCGGCACAAGGCATGCAAATGGGACACTTTGCCGGCATTAATGCTCAACAATTGGTCCAACAGAGACGCCAACAGCAGCAGCAACAGCAACAACAACAGCAGCAGCAACCACATCAACATCAACATCAACAACATCAACAACAGCAATTGCAGCAACAATTGCAAATGCACAAGCAACAAATGATGCAGTCACAACAACAAAATCGCTCAGTAATGCCTCCCACCTATCCACAGCAAGGGATGCCAACGCTGACAAATCAAATCAATCAGCGACCAATGATGCAAAATGTAAGTGTCCGTTGGCTTTCACTTTCTTTCTGACATTTCTCAAGTATTTTTCCTAATAAATTTGTGTTTGTCAACAGAATGATCTTTTTCTTGGGCAACAACTGAATTTTCCGCCGAATAATCCGCCTGCATTAAATCCAGCCACAAATTGCACAACCGGCTCTTCATGGCACATACCACAATCGGGTCGAACATCAAATGGTTCGTATACGTAATTTTGAATATTTGTCCACTAAAGAGAACGCTCTAAATAACGTAAACGAAATTTATTTATCAATTTGTTCTTTTTTTTCACCAATAGGAGCAACCAACAATCAACCGAGCCAAAATCCACTCTCCATGCAGTTTTGTTCAAACGGTCGTTTGAATGAGAATTCATTTAAAATCTCACTGAAGCCACAGAACACGCTGAAGCAACCTCAAGTTGCCCAAAGTCAAACGCCGACGCCGGTAACATCGACAAATCCAAAAACACCCAGCCCAAGCACAAATGATGTAAGATCAATGAAAATTGCATTTGAGAGTGTGCAAAAACGCTAACCTCGATTCGAAATTTATTTACAGAATTCAAAGGAGTACAATGATCCAATTGACAAAGCGTGTGCCGATAATATCAACGATCTGATGGCAACAATTGCAAAATTGGATTCAAATGGTGTTCAAGTTTTGCCGGAAGGTCAACGTGGAAAGACAACATCACCTCAAGTTAGCTCAAGTGACTCTCTACTTCCAGCCGATGGTAAGAAATTTGATAATATTGAAAATAGAAAATCAATTAATGTGTTGAGAATTTCACTAGATTTGATTGGATGGAAAAAGAAACAAATTGTATTGATAAAATGATTTGAATTTTGCAGCCGATAAAATTGAGCACAAAGATGATCCGAATGAGGATTGGTGTGCCGTGTGTTCAGATGGCGGTGAGCTAATGTGCTGCGACAAATGCCCAAAAGTATTCCATCAGCATTGTCATATACCGATAATAAATCCGTTTCCCGACGAAAATGAACCGTGGCAGTGTATGCTATGTTACAATTTCAACGATATGCCATTAGGTGAACGAACAAAACCGTATACAATAACCGTTAAAGTTGATGAAAAAACGTCATATAAAATCAATTGTAATATTACAGAGCCCGTTATTGGCGATAAACGTAGCGCTGGGCTATCGCCTGCTGAACATAAACGCATACAACGTATTCTCCTCGAATTGTATTGTCAAAATGAGCGTAGCGCCGTTTTTCGGGATTTAGAACCCGAAACAAATCATGCGTACTATGAGATTATCAAAAAGTATGTACTCGATTTTATTATTTCCAAATAGAATCATTTCTTATCATCTTCATTCTGCATATTTACATGTGAATGACATCAATTATTAGCAACTTATCAACAAATAACATAATTTTAACATTTTTCTTTACATTTAGCTACTAAAACAAATAATAATAATCATTTCCTTTGTCCCGAACGTTTTAATCAGGCATCTAACATTTTAATTGCTTTGTGTTTGTCTAACTTTTTATCTTTTTAGCATTCGGTAAATGAAATGTTCTATGATTACAACATTTTTAACGTTGGTTCGATTGTTTTCTTTCCTCTTTTTTTTTGTAGTGCAATCACACTGGACATTATTCGCAGTAAATTAGATCCAATCAATCCGGAACGGTATCGAGATGTCCCTTCATTTATTGACGATGTACGATTACTGTTCGACAACGTTTACCTCTTCTATCGCGTAAGTTTAACTCATGAAAATGTGCATTTATTAACATTTAGACACTAACACGATTTCTGTGTTTATTTCCATTCAACAGGAGGACTCGAAAATTTACAAAAATGCACAATTCCTGGATAATTTCTTTGATGAGTGTCTACAAAAATTATTACCAGACTATGCATCGAAACGGAGCAGCAGTGTAAATGGAAGCGGTCGTGCACATGATGCAAAGCGAATACGCCTTGAAAACCAAAGACCAACCGAAATTATTGATGACGACGATGTCATTTTGGCTTAACACGAGGCATTGTCGACTGCTGCAGCTGCTACTGCTGTTGCAGATGAAACTCAAGCAATCGATTTAAATCAACAGAATGAAGATAATGTTAATGATGAGACACATTTAGCATCATAGCACACATATGATAGAGGATAATTTGGGGACACGAACTGAAACATTAACTCATAGACATTAATTAGTTCAGGCCAATAATTTTTTTGTCCAGAAAATAAATTTCATTTCTTTCATTTTATTTTTGTTTATTGTTGTTGTCCACAAACGAAGTATTATTAGTATCGTATAAAAATAGCAACAACGATCAACAACGATTCATACAAAACACATTTTGTAGACTAAATTAGAAGATAAAACATTAAGTGTATTAAAAGTTAAGGACATTTTTTTCACCAGAAATAAATAGAATACCATTTTGCAATACGCAACGATCATTACACAAATTGTATTTTAGTCTGATAGTATGTTACAATGAGAAACACTTTATAGACAACAACAACTATTTATGAAATGAGACTTAGAAGAGAAAATGAAGGAAAAAAAAAACAGTAATAATAATGCTATCGATAAATCTATCCTACTTATATGTAAGATTACTTTTCACTTCACATGAAAAAGACAAAATGGAAATTATGTTGGTTTAGAGTCTTGAAATTTATCTTGATTACGATAAAATGAATAAATTTTCATAAAATATTCGCAAACAAATCGAATATATATCTTTTAATTAGAGATTATCAATTGAGGGAAAAGTAAGTGAAGAAAAAAAAATGCAAATCAGTTTCGAAATGCAAATCAGTTTTTCTTTAAATCTAAATCTTAGTTGCTTGTTTGGCAATTGGTCACTAATTTTTCTCTCGATCTCACGTATAGATGCAGTTCGTGTACGAATATTATCATATTTGTCAATAAAAAAAAATGATCAAAAAATAATAATGGAACTCAATATTTTATTTAATCAGCTTTCAATTGAATGAAGAAGTCTATCATTGACGATGGCATAGCGCAAACCAAGCATATGGTAATTATCTAGGTTTTGGTACAGATACGATTGACCTTTTGCTCATTTTCATTCTATAATTATAGCAACAATGATTCTTCACTCACAAATTAACATTCATGGTATCTGCTGCGGATTTGCTATCTAATTCAAACACTCGCAAAAGTTTCGTCGCACACAACCCGTATAGGTATACACACATAAGACAATACGTATGTATATTACATACATACAGCGTGAGCGCAAAGTGTTTGTCCATTAGGGCATACGCAATGCGAAGCAATATTTTTGCGAATATTAAATATATACAACAATCCTGGGAATATAGGATAGGAATCTGACTGGCTGCTCACAACCACCAACAAGCAACTGCAATTCGAAGCAGTTGGTATTTATTGCAAGTGACATCACTTCGAAGGTCAGTTTGTTTTTGCGCTCCAGACATTGAACATCAAACAGATCAAACAAGTAAGTTACTGTTGATCCTAAAATCAAAAGTCTAGATTTTAGTGCACACGGTTGTATTCTCGCAAAGTACGGAGTGTGCAATTGTAGGGCACCGCTACAGAATGACGGCAAAATTTTGTTGAAAGAACATCTAAACTAAGTTTACTGCGAACAACATCTCTTTTACGCTAACAGCAATTCGTACACGAACGAGTCAGTGTGAGCAAGACAAAGTTTGACAGCAAACCATTTGGTTGTGTCAGTTTAAATGTTCTTTGTTTGCGCTCAAATCCACTCCGTCATGTTTATCCTTGCATTGATGCCGAAACGATGAAAGAAAATAATTAAGAAATGAAACACAAAAAAAATTGAAATAAAATACAATCGAAATTAAATCCACAAATCAGAGCGTGTTATGAGCTGATATCAGCTGCTGACGAGTATGCGTTGCGTCGTTTTAACGCATTTGCAGTGCAAAATTCATATTCCTTTAGTGAAATGGAAACGTTCAATTATCGATACACATTCTATTCTTGAATTGATCGTTTCCCTTTCACTAAAGTAATATGAATTTTGCACTGCAAATGCGTTAAAACAACGCAACGCATACTCGTCAGCAGCTGATATCAGTTAGTGCTGCTGACATCAGCTCATAGCACGCTCTGCCGCAAATAAAGGGTGTTTCAACAGCGACGCAAGAAAGTATCCCTATCGTAATCCATGCCCGATCTGCCAAACTAATATATCAAAATTATTCTTCAATCTTTAGCATATTCTGCCATGAAGAGATATTTCAAAAAACAACGCGTTCAAATCGTGAAGTCCCACCACGAAAATAGGTGCATTTTTCAATTTACAAAAAATCAAAATATCATGTTAAAATCCTGCTTTTTACCTCTCAAAAACAATTTTTTCTCATTTTATTTATTTTTGATAGTTTTTATCTTAACTCGAACCGAAAATTCGCCCCAACAATAAGAGCAAAATTCCACACCGTTTTTGAGATATAGCCAATTTTGCAAAACTTTGGCCAATTTTGCAAAAAAGGCATTGATAATTATTGTTTTTTTTTTTTACTTTAAAATGACAGCTTGGGGCACTGATTGTATAGACAACTCGATTAGACAATGATATGACCTTAAAAAAATCGTCAAAAAACCATTTAATCAGAATCGAGCTTCAGAAATGTCATAAAATTTAGTCGCCAAATGCGTAGAATGATCACTTAATCCTCAAATTTCTCAAAATTGGACCATTGTTTT